TTTCTCAAAGAACCAACTCTTCGCTGCATTGATTCTTTGTATTGTTTTCCTAGTTTCTACTTTATTCATTTCAGCTCTCAGTTTGAATATTTCCTGGTGTCTACTCCTCCTGGGTGAGTTTGCTTCTTTGTGTTCTAGAGCTTTCAGCTGTGCTGTTAATTCTCTATGTAACTGTCCTCCAGGTTCTTCATGTGGGCACTTAGTGCTATGAACTTCCCTTGTAGCACTGCTTTCAAAGTGTCCCATAGGTTTGGGTATGTTGTGTCTTCATTCTCATTGAATTCTAGAAAGTCTTTAATTTATTTTTTATTTCTTCATTGATCCAGGAATGGTGCAATTGTGCATTATTCAATTTCCATGAGTTTGTAGGGTTTCTGCAATTTGTGTTGTTGTTGAACTCTAACTTTAAAGCATGGTGGTCTGATAAGACACATGGAGTTATTCCAATTTTTTTTGTACCTGTTGAGGTTTGATATTTTGCCAAGTATGTGGTCAATTTTTGAAATGGTTTCATGTGGTGCTGAGAAGAAGGTATATTCCTTTTTATTTGGATGGGATGTTCTATAGATGTCTATTAATCCCAATTGGGTCGTAACTTCTATTAGCCCCTTTGCTTCTTTGTTAAGTTTCTGTCTGATAGTCCTGTCTAGTGATGAGAGTGGGGTGTTGAAGTCTCCCACTATAAGTGTGTGGGGCTATATATGTTATTTGAGTTTTAGTAATGTTTCTTTTATGAACGTGGATACCTTTGTATTTGGGGCACAGATGTTCAGAACCGAGAATTCATCTTGGTGGATTTCTCCTGTGATGAGTATGTAAAGACCTCCTTCATCACTTTTGATTGATTGTATTTTAAAGTCTAATTTGTTAGATATTAGGATTGCTACCCCTGCTTGTTTCTTGGGTCCATTTGATTTGAAAATCTTTTCCCAACCTTTAACTCTGAGGTAACATCTGTCTTTGAGGCTGAGGTGTGTTTCTTGTATGCAGCAGAAGGATGGGTTCTGTCTTCGAATTCATTCTGTTAGTCTGTGTCTCTTTATGGGCGAGTTAAGACCGTTAATATTGAGGGATATTAATGACCATTGATTGCTCATTCTTATTTGTTTTGGAATGGTTGATGGTAGTGGAATTATATGTGGATTTCCACCCATTTTTTCTTTTGGCTGTTGGTAAGGTGGGATTATATATTGCCTATGTTTTTCTGGTTGTAGTTAACTTCCTTGGGTTGGAGTTTTCCTTCAAGAACTTTCTGTAGGGCTGGGTTAGCGGATGCGTATTGTTTGAATCTGGTTTTGTCATGGAATATATTGTTTTCTCCATCTATAGTGATTGAAAGCTTTGCTGGGTATAGCAGTCTTGGCTGGCATCCATGGTCTCTTAATGTTGGTAGAATATCTATCCAGGACCTTCTGGCTTTCAGAGTTTCCATGGAGAAGTCAGGTGTAATTCTGATAGGTTTGCCTTTATATGTTACTTGACCTTTTTCTTTAGCTTCTCTTAATATTCTTTCTTTATTCTCTATGTTTGGGTCTTGATTGTTAGTGGTGGCGGGATTGTTTTTTTTTTTTTTTTTTTTTTTTAATGGTCCACTCTATTTGGTGTTCTGTAAGCTTCTTGTACCTTCATTGGCATGTCTTTCTTTAGGTTGGGAATGCTTTCTTCTATGATTTTGTTGAATATGTTTTCTGACCTTTTGAGTTGGGTTTCTTCACCTTCTTCTATACCTATTATTCTTAGGTTGGCATACAAACAAATGACAACAGCCAGTTGTGATGAATCATCTAAAGCAGACTCGCCGCCACCCGCTTTACCTGCAAGGGCATGGAAGCACATTTCAAGACCAATTCTGTGTCTGTGAAGATACTGAGGTCACAGGACTCTTCTTTTCTTGAAGTTTTCTCACAAGCACTCAGAATTTCTCTCCCATGACTAGTCAAGGCCACTGTTACTGTCAGTTTTTTACTTGGGGAAAGGGTGGTGGAGAAGCTTCTGAAATTGTATACATTTGTAAATATGTGTGTATTTATTAGAAGATAATATTCTAAACCTTTCAGTTATCAAGTGATAGGTCCCCACCTAATAACTTTTAGAAGTAAAGTTTTACCTTTTTCTCAAATGACTCATAGCTTTTTAATAATTTTCCAAAATAAGTATGCATAAAAAGCATGTAACAAATGTATCAGTTTAAAATTTTATGTGTTTAAGCTTCAAAGTCAAAATGCATAGTAGTCTGTATTAATGATTAAAGGTTAAGCTGTGTTTTCAGAGTCATAATAGCTGTGGTGTGAATGGATGCTCGGGTGTGAATGCTGAGGGTCAGGCAGACACAGGTGTGGAAAAGGTAGGAGACGACACTGAGGCTACTCACTGGTGAGATTCCCTCAGTGTCCATTGAAGCTCAGAGACGTCACTTCCTGAATTAAGGTCAACTTGGAAACCCCACAGTTCACATTCTTGACCGTTACTAAACCAAATGGCAGATGTTGGTAATGCTTAATTTTCATAGAAAAGTATCTGTTGGGCATGCTTTGGTCTATAGATAGCAAATGTAACTCTCTTTCTCTCCCCCTCTCTCTCTCTCTCTCTCTCTCTCTCTCTCTCTCTGTGGGGGTGGGGAGGGACAGAGACACCAAGTGATCAAGCAAATGCTGTCTGACTAAGTTACAATACTTCTTAAAAAGCCATAATTAGTTGAAAATACAACTGAGTTTTTGCTCCCTCTTCTGCCATTGATTTTTGTGTGACTACTCCTTCTTGAAAGCACACACGCTCACACACACACACACACACACACACACCCCTGTTGCAGGTTGCAGGTTGCAGGGGTATGAAGATGGTTGATCCCTGCTTCATCATGATGGAATTTGCAGTTGACCCTGAGAAGAGACGTAGAATGTTATAGTATACTGAAACGGTGTCCTGAGAGGCAGGGTGCCCGACTACAGAGGGAAGGGAAGGAGAGAAACCACAGAAGTGACATAGGCGCCGAAGAGCAGACAAGCAGCTAGCATTGTGCACACTGGGACTCACATGCAGTTCATCATGCAGGGTTATAGACAATTATTAAGGTATGTTACAGCACGTGATTGGAAATGTAGTTAGTTCTTGAATTTGATGAAATATATATGCCAGACTTAAAATTTTAGATTTGTTTTTTATGATAGTTACTGAGTCTTTGAAGAGGGAAAATGGAATCTTGAGATAATAGTGAATGAAGATAGGGACCCAGTTAAGAGACAGTTTGTGGCAGTTTGTAAAGAGATGTATCATGACAGTCTGTACTGACGACTACATGAGAGATACCGAAAGGTTAGGTGACTAAAATGCCTTGTATTTATAATGCTTTAAATGGCACAAACACTGTAATGCACATTTCCTGTTTTGGTACCCATTAAGGAGGTTGATAAACAGATGTTTCAGGTAGATGGACTTCTGTTTTGTACAAGGGAATGGAGATCACGAGACCCTGCCTTAGCCAGGGATGAGAAAGCAATGGCTTACATGTGACCCAAAGCTGGGTGGTCAAGCTCTGGGCTCTGTCTGGTTGTTTCACACCAATGGTAGGCAGCAACCAGGTGTGCATTAATCTACAGCATGGATGGGGTCAGCCAGTAAGGTCAAGAAATACTCACAGGTCCATGTGAATACCTGGAAGGTGCTTTTGCTGAGGACATGGTGTGTTGGCGTGTTTGGAGGCCTGTTCTTGTGACTGTTGGAAACAGAGGCAGGCTCATATTGGACAGCATTCTAGAGACTCTTCCAATCAGTGTTGGCAATCAGCATGCTAAGAATTCTTAGTCCACACCTTTAAAGTGAGTTCTTACTTGTTAGGGGCTATGGTTATGTTCCCTTTTACAGCGCTGAAGGACCTGGGAGAAGCAGACATGTGTCTGCTTTCTCATCCCTGGCTCTCAACACTGATGATACGTTCATTGCGCTCCATCTAGCTTGACATCGAGTCGCTGCTGTGTCTGTTCAGTACTCTTTCAAGTTAAGTGATTACTATTCTGATCCAGCAAGCAATGTGAGACTGGGTAGCACAGGTGGCTAAACTATCTTGAAGGCAGTGTTGTCAGAGGCATGTAACCACTGCTCTTCAGAAAGCTTGGAACCCGAGATGTGTAGGGAACTGAATCTAAAACTACATGATCACACTGCTAAGTCAAGTCCCATAGAGTTGTTTCTGCTGTGTAATGTTTCAAAGGGAACCCTAAACTGCCATAGTCTTTCTCTCCTAATTTTGTCCTACCTGATTAACTTGTAGTCTGTGTTGGTAAATTCAAAGGAAACAATTAGTTTCTACCATAATTGGGAGCCATAGTCAGTTAAGGTACTTTGGAAAGTATAATGACCTCTCTGGTATATCTGTTTGCTGACTCTGCCTCATGGTGTGAACCTTGTGTCTGGATATTTTAGTTTCCTTCTAAACAGAAGGGAAAAAAGAAAGGAAGGAGGGATGAGGGGGGAAAAAAAGCCTGATTTGTGCTCCATCTAACACAGAGTTTTTAATGACAGTGTGAGATCAGTAAAGGATTTTCACCAAAATACACTATTTATGAGTTGAAATTTGTATTTTTTAAAAATGTGAGGTTTTAAAATGCTATCTTAAAATAACAGTAAGGTTTTAAAAACCATTGGGATATGGTGGCACATGCTAGTAATTACAGTACTTGGGAGGCAAGGCAGGAAGATCAGGAGTTGAAGGCCATCCTGGGCTACGTGATGGGTTTGAGAAACATCCAGGGTCACATTAGCTTAGGATTTTTATTTTGTAGTCTGTCCAGACCACTTTTACTGTTGGATTTGACAGGTATGACAAGAGGCTGATCTACAGAGTCTACAGGGAAAGTACAGAGATTTTGGGTTAAAGGAGCCTCGAATTGACTTTCCATTAAGTCTAGGCTATTTGTGTTGATTCCTTCAGAGTAGAAATGTGCTTAGCGTCGACTGCTTTCTTCTTCTGTACCATCTGAACCCAATCCACTTGTCTTTTGTAGCTCGAGACAGTGGCGTGGCAGCTTAACCTGCAAATGGCCCACTCGACCCAAGCAAAGCTGCAGTCTCCTCAGGCCGTGCTGCAACTGGGAGTGAGCCAGGAAGACTCCAAGGTGAGAAACCGCGCCCTAGGGAAGTGAGGTATTTTGTTTGGTAGGTAGGTCTTGTACCTCATTGATAGAGGAGGCTGGCCTTAAAAGCAAGTGTAAATCAGCGACAACAGCCCGTCTTGCAGTGTGCTTCCCTTATAGACCACTTTATAATGTCTTTTAATTGCATGAAGTAAAAATGTAATGGAGTCCCTGCGAAATTACTGTTTTTGATGCCCCGGTGTACGGGTACATGGGCGTGTGTGTGTGTGTGTGTGTGTGTGTGTGTGTGTGTGTGTGTGTGTGTGTGTGTGTGTGTGTGTTTTAAACTGTACACTGCGTGCATAAAGGGAAAGGGACATTTGTTGTTGTCCAGCCAGTGCGTGAGCCAGTCGGATAATGTGAATTGGGAATATTCGTTCACGTGTTTAAATCCTAACTCTTGCAAGATAGGTCTTGCATTAGTTTACATCATAGGGCAGCTCCTCCTTTAGTATCAGTTTTGGAGAAGCCTGAACATAATTGTCGAAGGTGAAGGAAGTGCTGTGGGAGGCTCCCTACTGTGGGATGTAGAGAAACAGGTTTCAGCTATAATGAGAACTATCTATCACGTTTTACACTGTAATTACCTTTTAAGATAGAAAAGGAGAATAAACCTTTCCTCAGGAGGTGAGACTTTGTATTTTCTTGAGATGTTTGAATAGAGCTGGGTACGGGAGATCTGAGGATGGAGAGCTTACAGTGGATGAATGTTTTTTTTTCCCCCGGTAGTGGTGTTTATAATGGAATAGGATGTATTTTGATAGTGTGTTCACAATTACTTATTATATCATACGTATTTGTGTCTTTTTGAAGAATTGGACTACTGGCCAGCCCAGTATATTCAACCATAAAGTATTAATATGATTTGTCTTATATATAATGTATTAGTTTAATGCAATGTTTGAAAATAATTTCCTTTCACACATTTTCCACTGGAAAATAATACAAACTTACTAGTCAAGTGTCAAGTTGAGACTTATTGATTGTGCTGCAACTTAGTTACATAATTGCAGCATTATACCTAATCTTTGTAAGACTCTTTCTTGTATCATTTAGTGTGTGTCTTACAGGGTTTCTGTGAGGATTACAAGCCTACTGTGTATAAAGCACTTAGCCAATGTGGTAAATGCTCAGTAAGTACTAGCTATTATCATCACCATCATCAATACAGTATGGGGAGCTAAAATGTATCAATCAGTCAGCCAAGGCATTTGCTTCATGCCAAAGTTCTTACTAAATTTATTTGCTAATGTAGTTATTGTCATTTTCTTTTCTGTTTCATATGTCATCATCTCTCTCTTTTTCTTGATGTACTTTTAATACTTATGCTTCCTGGGAATTCAAGAGCAAAAGGACAGCCTGGGAAGTCCCTTTCCCTCCTGTGAACCAAGGAAGGTATTCCTTTAGGTTTGGGGGAATGGTCTGGAAGGCACTGGAGTAGGCTGGGGCTCACCATGACTGAACAGAGGCATATTTAAGTAGCTCTGAGCTGTCTCTGTTTTATCTCTTATGACTACTATGTGTAAACTCCGAGTACCTACAGAGCCACAGCACTATGTGAGATAGGGGATATTATTTTTACCAAATATTAGATGTGCTTTAAACCCCAGGGCTTTCGTGGTGCTTCGCTTTGTGATGCCCAAGGCCCCCAGCACCATCACATAGACTTAAAACCATGGCCGTATGCCTGCGTGTCCATTTCATCATGAAGCAGTGGGAATGAGGGAATAATGCTTCTAGCAAGACAGTCTTTCTTAAAATTCATGCTGCTCTCCGGGAAGTCAATACAGATGTGAAATCTAGATCATTTGTGATATGGGTTTAAGTATATTTACTTTTGTCCATTTGTTGCTCTTTTGAAACTTTGATTGGCTCTTATTACAGATGAGCATTATTAGCCCTGTAACATGCAGAAATAGACAACCACTGTCTTTCCCAGTAGAAGAGCAAGGCAAGCAGCATATCCTGTGTGCAGATTTGAGAATTTCTTGATATTGCCCCTTCCCATGGCGCCGTGTGGACTTGACCCAGCTAATATTTCATAGACACTAGGTACACAATGAAATGTAAAACATGCTGGGTCCAAGAGATTCTGTGCCTCAAGGAACAGTTGACAGCTACATTGTCTCCTCAGCAAACTGCCCAGTTCTGCCTTGAGTTGAATTTTTTTTGTTTACTTTCTCCTATTGTCATGGTTTTATTCTTCTTGTTTCTGCTTCATGTGGATGTTACTGTTTGCGTAATTTCTGTTATTAAATACCACAAACTGTATTGTGCCCTCTGTCTGTTTCCTGTGTGCGGAAACGAGAATTCAGGAATTGCTGATAGTCTGTAGTGAATAGCAGGGGCATGGAGCAGGTTGTGGAAACTACATTTACTGAAGGAAGAGCTGCTATTAAAATATTAGAAGTTAGGGCTACTTGAGTTATAATGGAAAGGACCACAAATTACAAAATTATCAGATTGAAAAACCATTTATGTAAAATAGTAAGCTGTAGGTAGGAATTCTTTTAAATATGTGTTTCATGGCATCGTTACCTGGAAAAATATACATGTTCTGAGATCCTGAGGGGATTAGAGTTGATGTAAAGGAGAGACTATCTGGGCAGTGTTCACATGGTGTAATGTAGCAAAGAGTGGTTTCTAAGGAGCTGCTTTTCCTAGTGTTGCTTACTGCATGCCCATGAATGTGTAGCTTGCAATGGAGTTTTCATTTGCTATCATTCTAGATAACATTGTTTGACTGTGTTATCTTTGCCCTAAGAATATTTCTGTCTCAAGGCTTTCCTGTTTTGCTACTAATTTTATCATGAAAAATGGATGATTGTAGCTTTTGGACAGATCTATAGTGTAGTTATTTTCAGCTAATGCCCTTTGTATCTCTCGAATGCATTCTGCAAAGTAAGACAATTTTCTGGTTCACAGATACTTTAGAATAAAGTTTTCTTGTTTTGTTATGGTTTGGTTTGGTTTATTTCATTAGGGGGCAGTAGAGCGCTTTGCCTGCCTAACCATTACTGGGATTCACAATGTTATTTAACATAACATTCAAAGTAGTTGTGGGAAATGCTAAGTGTTTACATTTCTAATCTGTATATAACAATAGAGTTCTCCTGTTTCCATCAGCAGAATTAATGCCGATTAATCAGATATGTATAGAACAAATAAATGAGATCAGCATGAGTCAGCCTTTGTTAATTTGCCTGTGATCATTTGCCAAAATGTAATTTATTAAAAAGCTTTCTGCACTGCTGACTTTTTTGTTTCATTCTGTCACTTACACTTAGTTCTTTACAAGAACATGGAATAAAATAATCCCCAAGATAAATGAATGGCTCCGTTGGGTAATAGTTTAAACTACTTTCAGGCTAATTATAGTCTGTTGAATTAAAAAAAAAATAAATTGTGAAGAATACAGTGTTTTTTCTAACAAGTGTTGGTAATTTTGAATATCATCAATACTTCAAATATTCTAAAAACACAAAAATACTTAAAATACACATTTAATTTCCTTATCAGTTTGTTACTCAACAGAATCCTATTTTATTAATGTAGAGATTAAAATTGTGTTTCATTTTCTATCTACAACCAAGATAAAATTACTTTCATAGTAAACTTTCATTTCTTTTAAAGTTAAACTGGACTTGACTTAGGGTACAGAAGATATTTACGGATAGGTAATTATGATTTTGAGTAAATGTGGATCTTTTCATGCTGGCTTCTGAGGTGGATGTTTTCTCATTTCCAGCTGATTGGAGAAAACAAGCTTTACTCTTACTGTTTGTAGTTTTTTTCTAGTACGCTGGGAACAGAACTCAGGGCCTTTACATGCTAGCCATGTGCTCTACCACGAACTACCTCCCACCATTTACACGTTTGCTCTGACTAGACACTAGATATTGTCAGACTTCGGTGTTTAAAGCACCTCTTCCAGTAATGAATGTGATTGTTTGATAGATGGAGAAAGGGAAATTCAGAGAGGTTAGATCAGTTTCCAAGGCCACAAGGCTAGTCATGTGTACATGCAGAATTTGAAGCCAGGCCATTTCACTGCAATGTTTATTGTGGGTTCTGGATTATTTTCCTTTTTACTGATGTGGTCCATTCTGTAATGTGTACACATATTTTAAATTCATGGCTTTATTGATCTTTTTCTTCTCAAGATTATATAGATTCTGCTTCCTGTTTCCTTTCCTTTATGAAATTCAGTTAGGACAGGAGATGCTTCATCATTGAGAGATACTCTTTTACTTCTGCATAACAAATGTATGTTTCTGTATGGATGATATTTCAATAGGACCTACTTTTTAAAAAAGAAAATCTTGGTATAAGGATTAGATTATGTCATTGCATGATGCCTTTAAAACAGACTCTGTTACTTAAAGGGGAAACATATTCTGATTTATTTAAGATAGATGTCTCAATAAGAAAAAAAATATGTGCTCGTCAAATCTTGAACTCTTATTATGGGAATTTAAAATACTTTGATACCCTTAAGGGTAATGTAGTATAGATTGAATTAGATGTACCTACAGGTTTTTTATAAGATGTTCTCAAATATAGGCCGGAATTTCCTAAATGCATTTTAAGGTATCCTATAGCACATCTTTATTAGCATAAGTCACGTTAAAGGATGCTTTCTTATTCTTTTTTTCCTTTTTTTAAATTTAAATTAGAAACAAGCTTGCTTCACATGTCAATCCCAGCTCCCTCCCTTTCACCCCCGCCCCCTCAGCCTAACCCCCAACTCCCCAGTCCCCACTCTGCTCTCCAGGGAGGGTGAGGCCCTCCATGGGGGATCTCCAAAGTCTGTCTTATCATTCCAGGCAGGGACGAGGCCCTCCCCCATGTGTCCAGCCTGAGAGAGCATCCCTCTGTATGGAATGGACTCCCAAAGTCCTTTTGGATGCCAGGAATAAATACTGATCTAGTACCCGAGGCCCCAAAGAATGCTGAGGCCTCCTCACTGACACCCACGTTCA